TGGACCCAGCTGAGGGGTCCCGTTCTCTGCACCTGCAAGCTCTGTTTTAGACCATGTTCCTGTCGTCTAATAAACCTTCTGTTTTACTGGCTGGCTGAGAGTCCCGTCTGACTGCAAAGTTGGGGTGCAGGACCCTCTGGCTTCCCTAGGAGCCCCGCCTGAGCGGACTCGCTGGGGGGAAGCGCACGGAGGGGCAGAGGATGCTGAATGCTCCGAGGTCAGACCCAGGAAGGTGGAAGCTGTGTGAGCTGTGTGTCCTGAAGACAGGCTGCTCACAGAAAGGCGACTACCCCAGAGTCCTGACTGACTTCATGGGGAGCAGTTCCAGAGCATCGCCCAGGGACTCCCGTGACAACTGGTGGCAGCGGTGGGATGTACTGCACCCCGTGGATGGTGCTTCCTGCAGTAAGTGACTGGGGAGCAGTAACACGAAGGGGGATTGCCGAGGACCAGGCCTGCTGAAGGCTCAGAGAGGAGCGGTTTCGGGGGCGGTTAACCCCTGGGAGTGTGTGACCAGAGAGAAGGACTGTGCAGTAGCAGGGTTCCCCTGGGGACTGCAGTGAGCAGTCCAAGGGGCGGAGGAGTCTGCTGCTCGACCCTGGCAAAGAGGGGGTGACCTCGAGAAGGGCTGGCACACTAGGGGTTCTCCCTGGAAACCGTGGGGAGCTGAGAACACACGGGCCTGTGAGTCCACAACAACTTGGGAGGAGCGGAGTGATGGCCTGTCACTGTCTCCTTAAGAAGGACATTGTAACCCTGTGCAAAAAGAGAGGGTTGAGCGTTGGAAAGTTCACCAAGGCAGAGTTAATCGTGCAGCTGGAGGAGGATGACTGCTCTAAGGAACAGATTCCTGACCCCAACTGGGGCTATAGCAGGATCTGGGAGCAGCTGAAGCGGGAGCCAGGCATCGCCAAGACTCCTGTCCCCGACCAGACGGGGTCTTCACGATCGGGTTCCCCATCGGGGGATCGAGACGGACGGGATTGGAGCTGAGTCTGAGAGAGCAAGAGGACCGTGGGAGACAGCGAGAGCCCGAGAAAGAGCTGCAGAAGCAGCAGCAGCATGAACTGGCGGTGGTGGGGCGGAGAGGCCTAGGGGACCTCCCCGGGGTGAGTGGGGATAGATCCCGGGGGCCAGTTCCGCAGGGAACCTCGAGACTAAATTGCTGCCCCTGGTTAAGGGGGGGGGTGTGTGGATGCCACCTCACTGCCTTTGAGCAGGCTGGAGATTTGAACCAGGGGGACCCTGCGGAAAAGCCCCGGTGTCTAGCTCCCTTGCTGGGTCCCAAGGCCATAGACTCCGTCAGCCAGATGGTTGGGGATGTGGACAGGCTCCCACTCCTGACCCCAACCTATATGTCTGTGTGGAGTTTCCTGGGGCCAGGCCCCCGGACCTCCAGTGGGAGCAGAAGGTGATGGTCAATGGGGAGACATTCTTGGGGTGGCCAAAGGGCATGGGCTGCATAAACCTTCCCACATGCGGCCTGCGAGTGCTATCGACCACCCCTGACCTAAGGGAGGGTGTGAAACTGGAAGGGCCTGGTGTAACTCCTACCAAGGAATGGGAGAGATGCTGGGGCATCCATGGGAACGTTGGTGGCTTCGAACTTCCCCAGGTCACCGGCTAAAGTGACCCCGCTCAGTTCGATCTCGAAGGGGGGAGAGATGTGATGAAGTGGGACTGTTCTTAATGTTTCCTCTGAATAGTGTGGGGGTGCCTCCAGTTTCCCCTAGGCAGTTCTGAAGTATCTAAGGGGTGGGGTAAGGGTGTAAAAAAAAAAAATTGGGGATTGTGCCTGCTTTGAGCAGGGGGGTTGGACTAGATGATCTCCTGAGGTCCCTTCCAACCCTGATATTCTATGATTCTATGATTCTATGATTCTATGTATGATCGTTGCAGAGCCCTAGAAGGCAGGTGTGTGCAGGGGTCTGGACACAGAGAATGGCCGACACCCTGTTTCCTGGCAACTGATGGCCTGGGCCCTTCCCCCTGCAAGGTGAGAGCTGAAGGGTTGGAGAACAAAGGAATCAGGTGACCACCTGGCCCGGGAAAGGAACAAAGCCCAGAGGAGGAGGGGCTGGGGGTTTTTCAGTTTGGGGCTGGCTGGGACATGGAGTGAAGTGCAGACGTGGTTGTCTGGCTCACTGCCCCCCAAAATGGACCCAGCTGAGGGGTCCCGTTCTCTGCACCTGCAAGCTCTGTTTTAGACCATGTTCCTGTCGTCTAATAAACCTTCTGTTTTACTGGCTGGCTGAGAGTCCCGTCTGACTGCGGAGTTGGGGTGCAGGACCCTCTGGCTTCCCCAGGAGCCCCGCCTGAGCGGACTCGCTGGGGGAAGCGCACGGAGGGGCAGAGGATGCTGAATGCTCCGAGGTCAGACCCAGGAAGGTGGAAGCTGTGTGAGCTGTGTGTCCTGGAAGACAGGCTGCTCACAGAAAGGCGACTGCCCCAGAGTCCTGACTGGCTTCATGGGGAGCAGTTCCAGAGCATCGCCCAGGGACTCCGTGACAGGGGGGCACAATCGGCAGACCGGAAAACCGAGCGCCCGGTGTGTCTAGGCCAAGAAGCGACCGTGGCTGCGGGAACGGCTGCCGGGCCCAGGGCGGGGCTGGTCCGTAACAGAGCAGGGTTCGTTTGGGGGAACCGGGGCCAGGAACGTCCCCTAACCGAGCGCTCAGTGAAACAGGACCTGCTCCGCGGACGGGGCCTGAGAGACGCGCCCTGGAGTCACGCTGAACCCTCACCCGGCGCGCGGCTGGAACCGACGGAGCCAGGGCAGGCCGGGGGCCGGGCGTCGGCACCGACTCCGGGGCGCCCCGGGCTCAAACACCCATGGGGGGAAGATACTCAGCACCCCCCGCCACAGCAGGCCAGTGACACAGCCCGTCAGCCGCTTGGAGGAGGGTGGAGAGCAGGGAGCGGCAGGTGGGCGGGGCCTCAGGGGAGGGGGTGGAGTGGAGGCGGGCAGAGTTGGAGTGAGG